GGTTCATTAAGAATCTTCTAAGCTCCGTGTATCCCGAGATCCTTCCCGAAGATCCCCGAAGATTCCCTTGATGTCATTGCCTGCGCTAGCCAGCGTAGGCTACAGGAATTCTTAGGCTTAGCAGCCGTTACAGCAACCAATATTAAGGGCTTGTCCCTCAATATCTATAAGAACAAATTTGGCATATTTCAAAATTAAATTTCTCAAACATAGTTAGAATCTTTAGTTAGATTCACAAAGTCCTCCATAGTCTTAGACTCAGTAGGGACTATAATAAAAATCTAATCTAATCTAATCTAATTTATGCAACCAATGCGATTGATCTTGAAATCACTACATAGTTATTTCAGCAGCATCAGACATCCAATTGGTTGAATCTAATTGCCTCGCGATACCCGAAATTCTGACGATTGGGAAGAGACAAGAGCATTTAGAGCCTGAAAGTAGTTTTATCCGCACGTGTGCCGTCATAGTGTGGAGTGATGGAAAATAGTTCACATTAGACGCGACAAAGAGAGCGCCCCAGCTCGAGCAAATATCAACACAGCTGCATGGTTATACGATGAGGGTAGGAGGTGAAGAAAAAGATTTATCCGTGCATTATTGTGAGAAGTTATAGGTGCTGGCAAATAGCGAGGGGGAAAAAGGAGCCATGATGCCTAAATTAGACTCCTCCATCCACAACACCCTCACACATGAGTAGCGGCCGAGGGCGATCTCCTCTATGCTCTCTGTTCTCGGATGCCCATGAATCTGGAGGAAATGCATCAATTAAAAGAGTTTTAGTGCCGGAGACGGTTCCAGGCTCGTCAGATCTCGGTGTGGTTTCCAGCCAAGGTTGACTCTGGGAATCATGCAAGGGATGGCTCATCAGACGATACAAACATTAGGAGAGCAACCCACCTATCCCTCAGTCATAGTACCGCCATCGACTAAATCGTTAGTTCTAATCCGAGTACATGAAGCAGACAAAATACAGCCGGTAAAGCTGCTCAATAAGGCAACATTACTTATTATTATTATTATTTCATTTTATTGTCCTGTCTGAGTCAATGACTATGTAAGATATATAGGTCCTCTCTGCCTACAGGCCAAGGATACCTATACCAGTAGTATATCCCCTCCTATGCCTCCCATACAGCTCCCCTCAAACAGTACCACCCCTCACAAGTCCTCACTCGATCATACACCTAGAGGAGCCCTTAGCCCTTCATCATATCCCCCCTCCAGCCAACGAAACGATGGCCATTTGCGAGTGTATGGCAGCCGAGAAAAATTGCGAAAGCCACTGGGTGCGGAGCTCTCCTTATACCAACATTAGGACTAAATCCGAAGACATAGTGCCCCTTCTGAAGCGTTCGAAGAGGCTGGCAAGCTGGGCGCTGCAGACTTGTGGGTACCTCGGGAAATTCACCCTCTGCCTTTCTAGCCTCCTTCCAACTCCTTCCCGAAGGTCGTGCTGAAATGTCAGAAAAGTCTTGACAGAGCGTGATTGCTGTAAAGTAGCTTAGCCCAACTTCTTTTGTGCCGTCCAGGGCGCTGGGGAGTGATGTTGGCTCATCGACAATTGAAGTCCTTCAGGCTGATTTGTCGAAATCTTGGTCTTGGCGCCCACAAACGTTCCAAAGTTGAAAACCCCTCGAAAATTTCAGTCCCAGCATGGTCTTCAGAGACCAGTTCCCCCTCAAGATGTTTGTCCCATTAGAGCAACAGTCCCCCATATCCAGGACCCAAGCTTTGTATTTTCAACCTGATTTCCTCCTTGCAGGTATAAATAGCATCGTAAATATATAATGAGATATGGCTGGAAATTAATGGGGCAAGCTCCTGTATGCAATTGGAGCAATTTCTTTTTTGGTCGTCGAGGCGAGATGATGCGTGGTTAGAGAGAGGTTGAGGTCTCAGATGAGTATGGTGAGAGAGGAATTGTCAAGTAGTCGTCAAATGGAGATATGCTTGAGGTTGCTTTCGACTTCGATTCGGATGCGATTCTTCTTGGCTATCCCAGAAATGCAGAGCATACTGAGCAATTACATCGGCACCACTGGAAGGTGAAGAATTCGTCTTTGCCGGCGAACATTACCTATTGATGGGGCATACGACATAAGAAAATTACGGAGTAACGATACTGACGAGTTCGTGCAGTCGGTCTCCTAACAAGACGCTATCTTGAATACGACACAGCTAAAGGAGTTCTGCAATTTAAAGCAGAATTATCCTGCTGAAATTCTGGAAATCCCTTTAACTGTGATAAAATGAGGTAAAAATGCCAAAAATGGCAGAATTATTTATCAAATAACGGCGGAGACAAACGTTCGGATTACTGGAATCCAAATCAATAGATGAAGATGAAGATAGCTTTACGACGGGAAAGAGCACTTATATATAAGGAATAATGCCCATACCCAAGGGTCAGTTATCGAGAGATTTCCGGCTGAGGCTCTACAACACGAAGTGATTAGGTACGGTATTATGATGAACTCAATGCTATACACAGCCCAACTCTAGTCAGCCCGGACACAGGTCAATTATTGCTTCAACTGTAGCTAGTGGAAGCATACTCAAGTCTCGTGCAATAAGGCTAGAAAGTGTGATGGCCGTGCGAGTACTCACCAGACCAGGGACTGCCCGAAAAATCGGTGCTTTGCTGCAAGTGTGGCAGGGCCCATTAGTCGGAGTAGGAGGGGGTGTGTTCAAACTTCGTGGAAAACAAGGCCAGATATAGAGTCATGGAGAGAGTGGCAGATTTAAGACTGGAGGATATTTTGCTAGCGCCAAAACCAACAGACGACCAAGGGTTCACACTTGTGTCCCACCAAAAGCCAGAAGTCTTAAAGAGAGGGCCAGGACGCCCGTGCAAACACATTTATTTGCGCCATCAGGGTCGAACTCAAGACCATAGTCAATTGTTTACAGCGCGCGAGGCAAGGGGAAGGATGCCGAGCTTTACTTTAGCTAGTTCTCCAACTGATAGCCATCACACTTACAGTAGATTAACAGGAGAGCTAGAGAAATAGAAATTGAAGGGGTAGGGGGGTTTTATCGCAATGTTTCTGCCTCAGATAAATATATAGATATGTTTATAGCGGCCTGTTTGGGTCCATAGGACACCTAATCGGGTTAAATGAAAAAAAATTAAATGTTTATCGACGGCTTTGAAAAGGGGCGCGGGGGCAAATTCCGTAACATCGGCCATACTCGTATATGTGAGCGTCGGAATAATCAGGTGGTATTCGTATCAAAAGCTTTCTGTAGGAGTAATAATGTTTCGTGGTTACCTTTTTTGATTTGATTAATTAACATCGTGCCAGTGTACATCTCAGTCCCTACAGACCTACCCGACGCTCTAGGGGATCCAAGATCCCTCAGACCCTATTTTATTGCTGCCAATCTCCTTTGGGGGGTCGTAAATTCTCATAGACAAGATCACAGTCCAAGTCACGTGACATTGCATTTCTTCTCGGGTTTGGGGGATGTTGGGTGTCTCAAGCCCCCAGTGCAGTAAGCTTGGGCGTCCTCTAACCCATCAGGAACTAGCATATATTGTCATTAGAGGTAAAATGGAGGCCAGGCAAAAGCCCCCCCAGAAAATAACATAGAACCCGACCAGCTGTCCACCGCTCTGATGTTCAATTTAAATGTAGCAAATTTCCCTTTACCGGGGACTCTACATCTGATTTACGAGTAGTTTAAGCTTAATCTCGCAGGCTGAATAATGAATTAAGATAACGCTACAAAGGAAGAGGTTGTGAGACTTTCCGACATTTGTTCACCACATAATACCTTCTTTCCCAGGGGACATCTGGTAGGCTCGTTGAACTTCGTCGTAGAACTTCGTCTGCTCGACCCATTGTCCGAAGGCAAAGGCGCCTTTAGGCGTGCCGAGTATCAATCTATTGCCGGGGTGAGGATGTTGTGGTCTACCGCGAAAACGGGCACAGTTTCTTCCTATACTGCAATAGAAGAAGTGATCTGGACTTTTTCCTTTGCCACAGGAACAATTCATCAGGGCATATTTGTGTGCGAAACGCCGGTGATAAAGGGCGAAATCTCCGTGTCCGTAAAGAGCTGCATTCAATGCTCCAAGTTGATGTCGACTTAGACCATACAGTTCAGATATTATTCCTAGGCAAGGGCGAACTCCTAGTTCCATGTATCTAGAGGGTCTTTCTTGGTTGGGGTTTGAATATATCTTGATTCTTATCTACTTCTCTCCGAGAAGCACGTGCATACAGAACTTATCCCTGTCTCCTATCGCCATTCCTAATCGAGCAAATCTTTACTCATCATCATAATTCGTCACCATTTCTAAGGTTGTACATGAATAATCATTTAGTCATTAAAATGTAGAATTTTGGCACGGTTCCAAAGAGCCAATTCACCAGAAGTGGCTCTGTTGTTGATATTACTGACGTTTCTACAATTAATCGGTACCCTATTCTATTCTACCTGGGGCTGGGTTCATCCATCGCAACGCGTAAAGTCGTCCCATATTAATATTGCCACCTTAGTCTGGCCTTCTTGTTGAGCCTGTCGGGCTCTGTCCGAAACAATGAATCCTAAACCACACATAATACTACCAAAGGATAGTTTTCTTACCCCTCCCATAATTACACAGATACCTGCCCTACCAAAACACCTGCTTTTAGACTTTCGCCTCCTGACATGAATTATCGAAAAAGTATCATCGATACATAGAAAGGCATATGAGCATGAAGGATTTATCCCGTTGTGTCGTCTCACATCCTCGTTTTCGTGTTCTATTTCGTGATTAAATTGAGGGACAGCGGTTCTTATCCGGAAAATTGCCTCGGATTTTGATGCCTTCATAACCTACGGAGCCCACTGGAAGAGGCGCCGTGGCGGCTTTCCGTTCGTTATTTAAGCAGCCGACCTAAAAAAAATGATTCTTACCCATACTTAAGGAAAGACACGGGAGTTCCCGTAAAATATTAAAAAGTTCTTGACACTATTGATGTTAATTTACCACAAGGGGATGTTCAAACTACGGTCATCATATTCATACGCTGAGATAGTGCTTGTGTAGGTGATTTATCTACAGAGGCGCTAATTATTGAATTGTTGCTTGTATTTCGAGATATGCGTTTTGGAGTATCTGCTGGTTCAGTAAAAACCCTCGTAAAAGCAGGACTTGAGTCTCGTCGACTCGATCCAATATTTTCGGATGATCCATCGGTCGCGCGAATAACATCTCTTAATATGCGGTTCAGGGTGATGGCGCGACCAACAAGATCTTTCAGACTAGTCGTGTCAAAGGGCATTTTACTGCCAGAATCTTCCGTGAATTTTGGCAATAGGGGGTCGAGAGCTGATCTCTGTTGGTGTATGGTTTCCATTACTTTGCGAGCAACTTCTGTGGAGCTTGAGGTCTTGATCATGCTAGTGGAACCATTTGACTGGTCTAAGCTTTTGTGAGTAGATGCATTGCTACACGGCGATTTTTGATGTTTATCATCTTCCGTCTTTCTGTGGTTAGGCTTATAGTGTTGGGTAGGGAGTAGGGTTGACTGTGTTTCTTCTCCAAGGTCACCATCGGTTTTTTCCTCCTCTTCTTCGTCTACTGGTGCCGCGAGCGCAATAATGCCTTCAGCTTGCAGCCAGAGAGAGGCGAATTCACCTTGAAGCAACCCTCGATATTTTGCAATGCCTCGTAGCCTCTTCATTTCCTCTACCTGCAAGCAAACCTCTCGTATCTGACCAACATGCCCGACTATGTTTTCTTGACAAGCCCGTATGGCCTCCGGGACTACCATTTGGCCTGGACCGGTGGTGGTTTCACTGCAGCTTAGTTTCACGCAGTCCGTGTTGTCGAATTCAAAATCTCCGTCCCAATCTTCGCTAATCGCTTTAGGGCCAAGACCCCATGTTCCGAATTTAGACGTTGACTTGGTGTAATCGAAATCGGGTACGAGCGGAACGCTCTGGCTTCGTATGTGTGACATACTTGGGCCTCTACGCCCAAGTGTTCTACCGCCCCGACTTTCCAACTTTTGTCTTACGTGGACCGTCCGTAGTTTTGGTGGGTTTGCTTGGGGGCCATTTCGATCGGAACATGGAGGATCTGACCAGTCGAGAATATTAGGCATGGGTTTCTCGAATCGGGCAAGGCGCGACTCGGCTCGACGTTGAGAAACATCTGCAAGTAAAGCTCGTATACCTGGACTGACTTTTCTAGCATCAAGGGAGCCAGGTTTAGGCGGAAATTTTGGATGCTCGTGAGGCTCTACATTTGCGGCCCAATATTGTTCGACTTCATTTTCGTTGTGCTCATGGTCGTCACTATCATTGTCATCATCATCATCATAATTAGGATCATTAGGAGTTCGAGAAATCGCCATATTGTGGGTGAAATTTTGGGGTGAAGGGGGCGTAAATTTTCTTGAGTTGGTGATAGCATGAGTTAAGACTGTGGTCGTGAAATTCGATGTAAGTAAGCATGGATTGCTTTCGTGGGCTATAGGTATACCCTCTTTTACCTTTGCAAACTTTTTGATTTCGTCCTGACGTGCCGCTTGGAGCGTGTCCTCATGTAAGGACAATCTTTCTTTTCTCCAACCTCCGTGACTAGCTGAAGACACTTGATCAAACATATATTCAAGAGGGGGATTACATGAACGTGTGCTACCCGTTGCTCCGGACCTTAGCGAGTCAAAGACGGTGTCACTATGGAAATCTGTCTCGTCATAATGACTTATTGAGTAACCCTTGTGATCAGAATCGGATCCTATCAGTGTAGATGCACAGTCCGTCACTTCCAGGTTAGATAAGCTTTTCGAAGTATGGTTCAGGAAGCAAGATGAAATGAGAGAAGAATCGTAAGTGTTTGGCGGATTCGATGCAGGAGCTGCCAGGTCGAGCAGACGCGTCGAGCAGTCAGAGCTCGCAAAAGCTATTTTGTTTCCTAAGTTTGTGGTTGAATTTAGATGTCCAATTCTTAGTAAGTCTATATTAAAGCTGGATGTTCGCGATAAGGATGGTAACGGTGAGATAATATTGCGGTTATCGTTTACGACGAGATCTGCGTCAGAACCATTGAGTGAATTTTTTTCCTCAGTAGCCTCAAATTCTTGCTGGAACATCAGAGAGTTAAGAGCTGTACGGCGCTTGAAATAGCCGCTGTTACCAGACATATCCTTACGACAGGGCAAATCCGATGGGAGTGACGAGGAATTGCGATTCTCGGATACATTATCGGTCCTGTTTTTCATAACCTGCAGGCTCTGGGCTCGTGGTAGCCACTTGGTAGGTGAAGTAAATTGCATGGATAGAGAACGGTATGGGCGATGGCTCACTTTAGCGTGTCTCGATTTGGTTGTGGGTCTACGCAACCCCGATCGAATCATCATCTCATCGCTTGGAATTTCACGCGTCTTCTCATCGCCGTTTTCCTCAGCACGTGCCAGAATACCACTTCGAGTTTGATCGATCATCTGAGGCTTGATAAGAGTCGCTGTAAGGCCCCCGTCTAGCACTACTCTTCTTGTTGTGGGGGATGATGGGAGGCTCTCATGATAATCATTGGATCTTTTTGTTGTTCGCTCGTTGAGGGTTGGTCGAGATTCAAAGTAAAATCGCCACAAACCGCGCAGGTCTGGGAAGCTAGCTTTTTTTGGTGAGGTAGAATTTTTATCACTTCGGTGGGGAGAATTGAGGGGCGTTTCTTTACAGTACTCTGAGTCTTCACTAGATCTTTTCTGCCAGAGAAGAGATCTCTGATGACTAGTAGCCGGTCGGCGTGTTGATGAAACTCTAGAATTTGTTCGTCCGGAATCTTCGGCTGCATTGATACCATTTCTTGACGGACTCCGCTTCACTAGTTTATTGCGGGTTGATTGCGACAGTTGGCTTCTTTCACTCGCCGTAATGGAGGTCCCGGTTCCTGGCAGAGAAGATTTCAAGGGCGAGTCAAGGGCTACACTTTCTCGTGAAGGTTGACTGAGTGAAACGGGAATGACGGTAAGGCGTCTAATCCAAGATCTCCTTGGATTGAATGAGCTTCTCTTCCTCTCCTCCTCAGATAACTCAAGGGATGGTGACTTTGAGCCCATGTGCCGAAATGATGTAGACCTTTCTCGAAGAATTGACTTGGGTATGTGCACATGTGTCAGTGGCGGGCGGCGGTGTGACCGTGAGGGCAGGATTGAAGGAATTTCTAGTGAGCAGCGTGGCGCCTTATGGTTACAAGTCGAGCAATCCAAGCTTGAGTCGGATCGTGGCGGTAGGCTTGATCGGTCGCGGTGAGCGTGGCTGACCTCGGGCTTTCCCTTGACGTTTCTTCCTTTTGTCGGATTAGCAGAAGATTCCAATTTTCCCAAACTCAATCCAGCCGCCGCGACACCAATGGTGCTGGAGGCGATGAGCTATTCAGTGTTAGTTATAGATTGTGGCTCAATTACAGCACTTCGGGTAGCATTCTCGTGTTTTGATGGGATTGTTTGGCATGCAGGTAGGCCCTGAGAGGGCAGACAGGTTGACTTACGCTGGGGACAGTCTTCATCTTTACAGATCCTCACTGCCGTACTGAAAGGTCAGTTCCAGGCAGGCCGATGGAATGATGAGAGCAGCGATGCATGAATTCAAGAGCATGGTTGGGATTGGTCGTATGGTAAGTAGAGGGCGGGAAGGAATGAAGGATGTGATGCGGCGGCGACGGCGGCAGAGCAAATATTGCACCAATTGATGGCGACGGCAATGTTTGTCGACGACTCGTGTGAAATGGTTAGTAGACCGCGAGAGCCAGCCCAGCGCGTAGGTCGAAGCTCAAATGGACGATAGGGGAACAGGTGTTGGTCGAGTTGGCCTTGGGATTGACCTCAGGCACTCGATCGGGGAGCAAAGCAGGTAAGAAGAGAGCAAGCCAGGCAGCCGCAGGTGCAGGGGAGGCCGGTGGTAAGGAGGGGCAAATGCAGGAAACTGAGCAGGGCCCACGTCCCCCATGGACTTATGCAATTCTAGAGGACAGGCAGATGCTATAGAGGTGCCTACACCCATCCACCGGGGCCAGTGTTGGAAATGACGGGGTTGATTAGGAGCAAGCCAAACTCATCATGAGCATGTAGAGCCAGTGGCCAGGGACGAGAAGACCGAGACGACGTAGGGATAAGGAGGTCCATCCGCGTGGATCAAGGACCTGAAGACCATCAGGCCACGGCACTATGCACGAGCCAGTGGACAGGCAGGGGGCCAGGAGCCGGGAGCGGCTAGATGTGGTAGAGGAGCCGGCCCGCTTGCAGTATCCGAGTCGGGCATACTCGGGCGCGGGCCGAGAGCTGTGCAGCGTGGCCTAGCAGAGTTGGCAGACACACATAATCACAGCTAGATCTCAAAACGACCGACTGTATGAAAAAGGGTGGAGGGAGAATGAATGGGCCGTCGTGAGGCAAGCCGCTCCCGGCCGGTGTCTCGGGCTCGGCAGTGAGAGCGAAGCGCTGGCGAGCATCTGTACAATAATTCGAGGGCCATGGCGCCTGCGTCTCAGAGCAGGGGCCATGGCGCCTGCGTCTCAGAGCAGGCGCCAGAAAGGTATTGGAAACGACGAATGCTCTAGCAATACTATTCTGCTCCCATACACTTGACTGACTACATTTCGTGCATCGCTGTTGCCGTAGCTATCCGAGCCAACGCGCGTCACACCTCGTCGAAGGTCGCGTAAACCGTTCAGCATCTTGTAGTCCAGTAGTGGCCGGCAAATGTGGCAAGGGGCACCCAAGTACTTCCTCTTGCGTCTCTTTGCGCCACGTCGCTGCATACAAGCCTGGGTCCCGTGCCGTCGGTTCGGAATTGTGGCCGTCGAGTGCGAAGACGCGTCCCATTTACGGCATCAGGACCTCCCAGCCCGATGTCCGGGAGATGGAATGAAACCCGCGTCCAGAGGCGCTCAGGCCCATCGCCACAAGGCTCAAACATCATAACATCGCCGCCCGATGGCTTCTTGCATGTGTACAGTGCTATGTATCCAATGAGAACGCGTCGACGGCTTCCAAAGATGGTCACGTATTCACGTGATTAGGCTGATATTTCCACTAGGGAAAGTCCCATCCAGTATATGCGACGAGCTGAGCCACACACAGTATCAGATATGGCTGGTGTACATTACCTTTTATAGTCATCCAATATGTCGTCAACTGCTGTGATATTATACACGACAACTTTTCAATGTACATACTTGACGACGGTTTCCACTTCAGAGGTACTCTTACGCTACAAATCATTCGCTAATACAAAGAGAACATAGGTCTGTTTTCACTGTGACCTCCAAAATCACAGACATCTTGCTCCTATGTCCCCCGATTCATAGACTCACACCAACTTCAGACGATTTTTCTACACGGCTACTTGCACTGGTGGCAGTTTTGGTGGCTCTATTAAGATAAGATTGACACCAGGAAGCCGCGTTACCAGGAGTGATCCCTCACCGCCCTAGCAAAGTCTTCAGTTTTGGAGATGCACGGCTCGAGATACCTGATGCCGAAGGCTAGAATGCAACGGTTGGCCCCTAACCACATCACTCTACCCACGGCCCCTAGACCTTCTAGTATGGCCTCTTTAAAATTTGTCTTCCAACCACTTTTCTCATATTGGAGTGGACATCCCGATTTTAGCTGGGCTCGTGTTAGCGTTCAAAGGAATCGAGTGCGACCCGTACCTACAGTGTAAGAAAGCCTCGGTGGTCCAGTGCTCTAAAAGCAAGTAGATTGATTGAATTGGGGTTACCAGCGCTGTAGACTAAGCGAAAGTTGGAGACTTGTCATATCTTTTTTGTCCTGTGGACTACCGATGGCCTGGAGAAGTGCTCGCAACTGACGACTAGCAGAAGCGAATTGTGCGCCATGTGAAAATACCTCTATTCTTCTAGGCGGCTTCCATGCTCGCCAGATGATCGAGGGAGATTTGTTTGCATCCTTAACAAATCCCCTCATCGCTACCATAGCTGGCTCCAACAGACTTGTTCGGTCAATATCTTCGCTGGCCAATGTTGCTTCACTGGTACTGGGCAATTTACTATACCTTCCGATCCACACCACTGTACCTAGGCTCAGAAGCACCACGGGTATCGATGACCTGGTTTACGGTTTGCGCTGTGCAATGTAATAAGTCATGAGCGTGCGGAGGAGATTTCACTCTACTGCATTCTTCCTAGTCTCCGGGCTAACCTGGCAACGCATCGTTGACTTTGTACCACGATCTCGTCTCTGTCTGACCTCGGCATGCCGCCATTCCCCGAACCTGTTGCCTCATTAACGTGTCTTACCCAATCAGCCATGAGCATGTCTGCGCCGCAGCGCTCTTGCCCCAGGCTTCAGACCCACAAGCCGATAGCAGCATAGCTCATTAGCGTCACTGGGCCAACCAAACACTGGCCCGTGCGTGTCAATAGACATCGAGTTGTCAAATTCCCCATGGGCATGGGTGAAGCTACGATGGAGAAGCCATGCGTGCTGTGATTGCTGACAGCCCTCGCACAGATGGTCTTTGGAAAGGTTAGGGCCGAAGTTGTGGTTTGGGAGACAACAGATCTGAATGTATCCAATCCTGTACCCCTACGCCATCGGTACCCATCCCCATTCTAAATTACTCGAGTCTCATGTTAGCCGGGTGATATTAGGCTAGCAACGTCGAAGTGTAGAATCCCATGTAGACCAAGCCTACGTGATATATCATTTCCCTAATAAAAGCCCGAGCCACACGGTTTCAATCCCCTGAAATTCAAAAGGAAATGAGCCTTGCGAACCATACATGCTGATGTAGATTGCAGTCCCACTACCCAGAACTTTAGTCCTACTCACAATCGCTGCGAAAATATCAATTTGACTGATTCCTACCCTAGACACTTGGGGAAGGAAATTTTGCCATGTAACCGCTGATACGATACGTTGATGGAGAGACGGCATCACGCAGACTGGCAGCGTCGTACACACGTCCACGTCGAACGCGCACCGTGATTGCGCTAAGTTTAAGACGTAACAGCAGGCTTAATATCATCGGTCCTTTCTCCATATTATCTTTGTTATCCACCATGCTCGTTGCCACCTGGGCATGAATCTACCTCTCACACAACTGACCGTTCTTTCAAGGATGAAACGAATATGATCGGGTAAAGTACTGTTCAACTCCAGCACGTCTATCGCTGCCTATTCAAGGAATTAGTCAGGTATCCTATTAGTTCAGCGGTGTCTCGTCACCGTCAATACTACTATCTTTCCTAAACCCCTATCTCTCGAACTACCTAGCACCCAACTGTCTGCAAATCTCTATAAATTCTGTCACTTTTGCAACGTATCCGAGCACAAATGCGAAACATTTCATGTCACATCAACTCTCATATAGTATGTAAGCCAAGTTTTTTCTCGGTACTTATGCTGTATCTGCCAGTGGCACCTGATATCAGACTAAATGCCTTAACCCCAGTGACAGACGTGATGATAATATCTCTCAGTAATAATGCCAGAGAGTTTAGCTTGTTGATTCCCATGCAAATCTTATTCTTTGGTGCCAGACATTTTTTATATCAATCATCACCGGGTTGGATGGTGCATTCTAGACGTAAAAGCCCTTTTCCCCAATAGATTCTGGGTAACCTCGACACATACTCAACCTGAGACATGAGAGAGCTGTCTTGAATCCTGTAAGAGCCACATACCGCATTCTTTCGCGACGATATTGTACTAATAGGGTGATGAAAGCACACTCGAATAACCCTTCGATCTTCACTCTTTTCTGTCTGGTGGGTATGGACGTAAGAGGTTTTACGCCGTTAGAGTTAACCTCTAGTGGTATCTGCGAATTAGATGTGAGTGTGACTGTTCCAGACGTTAACATAAGTTATTCTGTGCTAAATACATATCTATCGAAAATACCTGTACGCGCTTTCAGGCTGCCAAATCAGGATAAATTAAAAATTTAAATTTATTCATTTTCCAAGATTATCGTCTCAATAAATAAAGGGCAAAACCCATAAAATGTACCTCAGCAGAAGGTAGAACACCATAGCTCGGTCACGCGTAGTGATAATCCAAAGCAGCCTGGCGGCTCGCCACGCCACGTTATCTGAAGGATCTTTCGTGTTATATTTTAAATTATGGCACGGCAGGCAATTAACTTTATGAAAAACAGATCTTTGTTTGTTCAGTGCATTCTTTGTGTCCGCATAATGATGGACACGACGTATTCTCGCATACTAGATCTTGCTCATATGTCGTCCTAGCCTCCTAGAGGCCCACAATGAGAATCCTCTAAAGGCGGAAGTCTATGAAAAGTAATTTTTATTAAAATTGCAGCACATTACTTGATCAAAGATAATGAATCAAGAATTCTATTTCAGATTTAGCAAACTTTTGATGGTTAGAAAGGTTGGAATCTACATTCGGAAATTAAACGCACTAAAGCGATCAGCCAAACCTATAAATTGTTGCGTTGAGGGCCACACTTGCGGTAATCCCAGAGTCTTACTCATGTAATAAACGTCTCTTATCCAGTATATTTTCTAGAAATTGAACG